TGAAATGCCCTGATTTTTCATAATGAAACAGGTAGGGGTGTCTCGTTTGCCTTATTCATTGGATAATTCACTGTGTTTGAATCTTCCCTTATTGAATTTCTTTCTTTGAAGAAATCTTTTGAAGGATTGAGTAATGAAAGCCAGATCATCATTTTCATTTTCGTTGTCAGTAACTTCCTTTTCCATTTGAGAGGATTTGAGAGCAGTTTCTTTCTTTCGGTGATGATCTCCTTCTCTATCTTTTAGGGTGATCTCCCATGTAAGAAGGGAGCCAAGAAGTTCATCAAGCTCAAGTGTGTTGAGATTGTGAGCCTCCTTAATTGCTGTAGCTTTTGTATCCATTTTTTAGGTAATCTTCTTAGAATTTTCCTTACAAGATCAAAATTAGTAATAATTCTACCAAAAATGCTTCAAGCCATTTATAATGTCAGTAAATCTTACAAATATTTCACTGATAGACTATTTTCATTCATGCGAAATAGTTCATATTGATGCATAAGAATATCAATTTTGGATTCCCGACCTTATGATGTTCCTTCATAGGTAATCTGAAGTTTATCCCAGATTTTCTTAGCTGTGGTGCATGTAGAGACTCTATTGTACTCACTAGGGCTTATGGCATAATTCAGATTTACTTTGATTTTAGTGTTTAGGAAGATGAGTTTATAATCCTCGGTGTCCCATTCTTCTTCAGTTTTAGGAACCTTTCTTGTATCAACTACTTTTATTGGAACAAATGGTCCATTAACTATGACTAGCCAAATTTGATAGTCTATGGATTAAAGGAAGTCTATCATTCTATTTTTTCGATAACCATTGTTTGTTCCATTGAACCAAGGAGGTCTGGAATTGGATTGACTTTCTTGATGAAAGTGGCCATTTAAGTTTGTCATGATCGTTCTCTAATACACTTAAGCGTTTTCAATAGAGATTAGGCTCTGATACCAATTATTGCCCAAGTAATGACTTTAGGGGTGGTGAATAGAGTCTTGGCAATCAATAGTCAATTTTTTATTTCAATTAAAGTGCAAGTACTAAGCTAATTTTCTCAGCAGTTGTTCAATGAAGCAAACAGAGTTTTAAGTAACACAAATATTATTTTATCAAGTGATTATTCATGCTGAACTTTAAGCAATAAATATAAGAGATAAAGAGAGAGATTGAAAACAAGTACTCAGCGATTTTAGCGAGGTTCGGAAACTCCTACTCCTCGGCTCAAAATCCCTCTTGAGACTTCCCAATCCACTATGGCACCTCCTTACGGGTGGAGAGCAAACCTTTTACAAGAATCACTTCCTTACTTCAATTTGCTAAGAAAAACACCTTCTCTCAGTCTTCCTTGGGCCACACAAGCCCTTACAAAGTTTGAAGAAGAGAAATATAGTACGAGATAATCTCTCATAGATTTATCTACAAATTTCAGCTCACGCGAGAGTATGTATGAATAGATTGAAGCTTAATACTCTATTGATGATATGAGATGTATGAATGTTGGTATGATGGCCTTTTGATTTCAGGAATATATATCTCAAAATGTTCCAGACATGTTTTCTTTAGACAACAACTTATTATATAGACTTTCAGATGTGTCTGATACATATTATAGCTATTGGGCACACAGCTCGAGGTAAAATAGCCGTTTAATTTTGAATTTGCACTAATTCAGTCGACTGAAATGAATTAGGAGTTTGTTTCGGTCGTCCGAAATAACCTGAGGCTGTCTTTGTATTTTTACTTCGGTCGACCGAAATGAATAGGCTTTTTATTTCGGTCGTCCGAAATAGCCTAAAGCCTTGTTGCATAGCTACTGCCAAAGTCGGTCGACCGATTCAAATTTTCTTTCCATTTCGGTCGGCCGAAATGGAACTTCAATTTCAAGAACATGTTTAAATGATATTTATACTTCGTTTTATGTTTCTTGAATTGAATGCAAGTGAATTTATGTATGACCCTAGATGTATGAGCTTCAAAATGTTCATACATACTTTGACAAAAGTTCATAAAAGCTCACCACCTTCGCTACCCCATTTGATATGTCATGAGCTTGATAGTTTCCTTCTTTCTTTTGGGACTTCATTACTCTTTTAGCTTCTCAAGTACTTCTTCAAAGGTTTTTGTTCATGTGTGCCTTATCTTGTTTGAAGCTGTGATCTGTCACTTAACTCAAGATAGATATTAGTACGCATAGAACATCATTAATGAATTGTAGTCATCAAAAGTCTTAGATTCAAGGTCAATAGGGTTTATTTTGTATATGCCCATATATATACAATTATAAGTCTGCCAAAGGTTAAAACCCTATTTACGTAATAGAGATAATAGAGAGTTTAGAGAGAGAAATTAAAGAGAGGAAGAAGGAGGAAAATGAAGAAGGGGGCTTAGGTTTCAATCTGTAAAACCCTAAGCCAAGTTCTAATTCTGTCTCTTCTCCTTTAACTTGTGTTCTGTACATGCTTAGTTAAATTCCAAGATTTTTAATTGGATTTAATATACTGGTTTGCATGCTAAAAATCTGAATTCACAGTATGTTTATATCTGTAATGGGTTTGTATAGTTTTTACATGATTTAATTATATGATGCATGACATGTGATCTAATTTAATGTAAAGATGTTTATATGCTCTAAAATCAATGTTGGGACACTCTAGGACATAGAGTTACTACTTAAGACCTGTAACAATGGAGATTAGATAGAGCAGAGGTCGCCGAAGTCAGAGAAGGTGATCAGCCGCGGGGTTTTGGCCGACCGATTTGGTATTTCGGTCGACTGAAACGGCCCAGCAGTGAAGGGTAAAGGTTGTATTTCAGCCGACCGGATTGGGTATTTCGGTCGACCGAAATAGCTGTATCGGCCAACCGATTTGGTACTAAGTCTGTAGTTTTTAGATATTTTTGTACTGTTCATATTTTTTTTATAATTATTGGAAGCTTTTTTAATAATTTAAATTGATTAATTAGATTCATGGAGAAATGAAAAAGCATGATTAAATATTGATATGCTAATGATAGGAATAACATGGACTTTAATTGATATATATATTGTTGATGGAAGACATAATTGCTTAACTTTAATCTAGCAAGGATTCGTGATGTATGTATATATGATTTTAGTCATATATTGTTAGTATAATATGATCACATATATGTCAGATTTATATTATGCTCATCTCTGGATTTAATTGATGAAATATTGTTAGTATAATATGATCACATATATGTCTGATTTTTATTATGCTCATCTCTGGATTTAATTGATATGGTATTATATTTATTTCATCAATTGTGGATTGTATGATGTAATGCACCAGTATGGGATGGTGCCATTCTAGGAATGGATTAACTTATGAGTTAAGTCCTACCAATTTTTGTATAAGGGAATGGATTAACTAAAATGTTAAGTTCTACTTATATTTGTGTCAGGTCAATTGAACAAGTTGAATGACCTATCGTGGATTACTTTATATTGGATAGGATGGTTGTTATATTTATATATATATATAGTTATAAGTCATGATATGAGCTTGAGTCTCAGGATCTATGGTTAGGGATGTATAGTTAGATATAATGTAGTTGTGTACCCTGGTAGGTCTAGATACGCATGCCCACTATATGTACGTTTTTACATGTTGTCTACAATTCAGGCTGAGACAACCCTATAGTCTAGTAAGGTTCCTTTAGTGTATATATATTGTTGAATTGACTAGGATGTATACGTGTATCGGGTCTCTATTTGGGATATAGTAGATTAGAACTTGTTCGTGGGCCTGACCCGCTATTTTTTTTCAGGTGTTCGTCAATCATAGAGGTGGTTCGTGCCGAGCAGAGACTATCCATTCACTCTTCTGATTCAATGTAGGAGTCTTCCTTATGTTTTAGTATTTGGATTCAGTTTTATTTTATTTATTTATTTAGTTTTAGTTGTTTATGGATAGGGGTCCACGTGATGGATTCCCAAGTTGTAATAGATGTCGGAGGCTTTGGATATTTTTATTGGAGAATAATTTTATTAGTAACTCAAGGATTTATTATTTAGTTTTCTTTCCTCTTATTTATTTATTCTTATTTCTTTTTGTACTCAATGCTTGTTTAATATTAATTGTTTGATATCCTTCAGTTCTGTGTTCGGACTTGATCACCCGTAACTCTAGAATCGAGGGGTATCACAATTAGTGGCAGGATGTTGAGAAGAAAACATTGTACAATTAGAGGTCATGTGATTACAGTAGTCAAAATAAAAAAACCAAGAATTACCTGAGGTAATTGACAGAGAAGTGGAAGAATGAGTACCATTATTAGAGAGAATCTGCTTAAGGAAAACCTCGATATCATTGGTGGACATCGTTGTGACTGTAGGAGTTGGAGGACAGGACCCCTCTACAATGACAGTAGTGAAGGATGAAGATGGATATCTGTGGCTGGATGAAGTACCTCTGGAAGAATTGGTGTGAGATTGTTAGTTCTTGGGACAATCACTCTAGTAGTGACTTGGGCCTTTCTTGTGACAAAACTTGCAGATTCTGGTGGGACAGGTTTCTTTCTGGGATAAAGCATGATCTGTGTTATGACAGTAGGTACACTCCTTGGGAAAGGAGAAGATGAAGCCGGTTTCTTTCTGGGATAATAATGAGTAGCAAGAATTGCATCGGTAACCTGAGGTTGAGATGTATTTAGATGATTTTCTTCCAAAAGAAGATTGGTTATAGCATCTTCTAAGGTAGACAGAGGATGCTGATGAAGGAGAGAGGCTTGAACAGGTCCAAATGAGGGTTGAAGAGCCATAAGAAATATGATAACACGTTACCGATCTCGATAGGTAATAAACTTTGTAGCATCAGAAACACACAACTAAGTAGGTTCAGAAAGAGATAGTTGATCCCAAATAGCATGTATTTATGAGATAAAGGTACCAATAGATTGACCAAGCTGTTGAGTTTTGCTGTGAAGATTGGTCAGAAGTGGTACATGTATTAGAGTCTGAGGAACGTCTATTGAAGAAAATGTCAGCCCATAACAAAAGAAATGAGTTGTTTTGGAAGACTAGTCTGGCAGCAACCATAGCCAAAGCAAGAACAAGAATCGATGAGCATGTCTTTATTATAGCAGACCGCCGCGCAACCAGTTATATAGGCCTTACTGGTTATATCAGTGACATATGCAAATATGTCACATCCTATGGCTACCAACTTATTCTGGGTGTGCGAGAAATGAAACGGTTGGCCCCAGTAGTCTGTGGCATATGATTCATATGAACCATTAGATCCAGATATAGTCCATCGAGATATGGAGAACCTCTGAATCGGAATGGGAGAGAAATGCCAAGTGCGATGACTCATTGCAAGTGACTTCAAACTTCTGGTTCCGGTAACATCCTTTCCCTATGCCAAATGGATAGGGAATGTTCATATTCCCGCAATTCTCTTGGCACTTGGGCTTCGCCATAGAATTAGAGGCTGCTTCTTTAATTAATAGGAAGAGTAGTAGAGAGTAAATGAGCTGAAATATTTGCAGCTGTGGCATCTTTTTGCTCCCACTCATGCCTTTATACTAACTAGGATATCATGTTTTTTTACTTGAAATGAACACAATTTCTCATTCTCCAGAACTTTTAAATTCTTTGAATTCCATAGCCCTTCTGTGTCTTGGCACAAGATTGTTTGGTTTCAGCTGAATCTTATTCCTAAACATGATATCCCATTCTATGGCCCATTTACACATCTCATCTCTTTTTCCAATGTCCCCATTCTTTCAGAGTGTGCTTCATATCAGGCTCTGATTATATGAACAAAATTAAACTCCGTCTGTATTAGTAGTCCCAAGTCCAAATAAAGGAAGAGGGTTGCGTCTGGTAACTTGACAGCCAGAGTAAAACTTTTGTCATGACATGAATCCTATAAATTAAAGAAAAAAAGGTTTGGTTGTAGTTGTTGTATATATGTAAACAAAGTTGCTCTTCCGTGCACAGTCTATACGCTTTGGAGGGTGGGAAACCATAGAGTTTTCAGAAACAAAGCATCCCTGCCATCGCTTACCGTTATAAGTATAAATATCAAGGATATTGTCTGCAGCAAGCTATTCAAGAACAAAGCATTGCCGGCGTGTGGACCCTTCCCAGCTCTTTATTTTTTTAGCTGAAAGGCCATTGTTCTTTAAGGTCTCTTGTATTTAACGTCTTTGTTAGTTATTCCGAATTTCTGATGTAGAATATTTTGTTTGATACATGTGTTCTTTTGGGATGGTATTTTGAGGGAGATTGTAGAGTTGCCACAACTCGGATGTTTGGCGCCTGTTTGGGGTGTTTTTTGGACTTGTTTTGTGGGCTAGTCTTTCTGTAAATCAACTTCTTTTTTTTAATACAAATTTACTTATTGCAAAATAAGTAAGTAAATAAAAATCAGTGAGCCTGGGGCTCAACATTCAATGATACTACTGATAGGGGAGGAAGAGATTCTGAAGGAAAAAAAGATTAAAATTGTGTTATCCGGTGAGAACTAAGTCACATAAAGAAGGAACGAGAATGAGAGTGGAAGCACAAAAGTAATAAATGTCTGGAACGTGAGAGCGACACTCACTGCGTAGAATTGTGAGACTTGAGAGCAAGTGAACAACTCTCAAATCTAATTATTCAATTTTAAAAGTTGAGTCATTTCAAAATAATCTCTTTTAGCAATTAAAGAAGAAGGAAATTAATAATCAGGATATTTCAAAATTATATCAGACCAAGTAAGACAACTTTCAAGCTAACCATTTAGTGTTACCAAAACACAAACATCAGATAAAATAATATTAATTTTTTTTTTTAGAAATTAACTACTTCTGAATATAGTATTGAAGTAGCGTGTCAAAACACAAACAATACCGATACTCACTACTTTTATAATTTATATAAGATCCATGAGTCTAGCGTATGACCCAGGAATTACATTACTGTAATTTTATTGCTAACATGGTGTGAAACCGATATTTCCATAGGTATTAGTTTATAATATGATTAAGGAATTACTATAAATTAATTGCTAGCATGGTGTGAAAGGGTCATTTCCATAGGATTATAATATGGATTAAAGAGTTACTGTAAACTAATTGTTAACATGGTGATAGTGTGAAACGGGCATTTAGATGACCAAAAAGTTCATAGACGAGCAATTTTTCCACGCATAGATACAATGCATTTTTGATCGTATTATTGAATTTTTCTCTGTTCGAGGGTTAATATATATATATATACACACACACACACACATATAAATTCTTCGAATTTTAATAAGTTGACTAATTATGCTCCCAATTGACCTTTAAAATTAGTAGTTTATAATTACTATTTACCCTTTCATCCATTGGATCGAGCATGCTACTTTGGTGGGGAATTTTGCTTGTAAATTTGAGACTTGGTTTTTTTCTCCATTTTCCTGCTCGTTTTAATGAACATTGTAGTTTACATTAATCTCATCTTATTGAGCCTTTTTAATTTTACACATAGGACAGGCTGGAATTGCTGGATTGGGCCAAAGGTAATTTCCAATTCTTACCCAATATTTTACAGGCCCTGACCTCTTTTTAAGCCCATATATTTAAATTCCTCCGAAACTGTTGTGTTTATCAAATTGCCAAGCATACCATTGTGCACTAGTTTACATCGTTTCTTATCAAATATTTTTTTTATTTCAGAGAATTGTACAAAAATATGTTTAGTTAACAGGTTTTGATAATTGTTTTTCAAAAACTTATTTAAACAAAAATCTATTTTCAAATAACAATTTTTTGTTTTGAGTTCTAGAACTATTTTTCAAGTGACAAACTAAGCAGACTCTAACTACCTAGCTTGAACAATTGAAGTGGGTTGTATTTGGTGTAAAATATACACACCTAGATGGCTACATGTGCTTGGTTTTATTGAGTATCTGTAGCAAATACTTTTTATGATTATTATTAGATGGAGAAAATGTTTGCAAAAACTGAAGTGGACAAAAAAATGAAAATTGTTAAAAAAAAATAAAATAAAATAAAATAAAAAAATCATATCCGATCTCTAGGGTATTTGGGATTTTGTCCCGACTAATTCCTGGGACACCGTATAAAATGCCCCATTCACACGGGGTCGAGTAAAACTTCGACTTTCACCCGCAAGCGTGGCCTCAAAAAAAAAAGTTGAACCTTAAATTTGATACTTAATGATGCACTAGGCCCATGTGATTTAGCACTCGAGATATATGAAAATTTTAGCATTTAAGTTATGTGATGTGTTTAACCAATAATTCAATATTGTGTAGAATTGTATATACAATACTGTTGCAAATGGCCTCCTCCTCATTTGCAACAACTTTTAATAATTTGAATAATTTTTTTAGTTGTTTTGAATAGTATGGTCAGTGACATCACAAAACAAACAGAATCTTATTAGTTAAATTAATTATTTAGAGTGCTAATTGGATAAGAATGTTATTAGTTAGATGCAGTGGATACACTAGATAATAATAGTAATAATAATAATAAATGAAAAAACTGATCTATTCTCTTCTCTAAGAGGAAAAATTAAAAAAATAGAAACTTCATAGTCAAGTAGGAATTTGGAATATGGCTACAAGAAACATTTCATGTTATTAACTACTTTCTTCATCTGCAATATTAATTGTGTAAGAGAAAGACCTTTCACTCACCAAGTTGTAGCTATTCAGGCTATCCTGTTGAAATAATAGCTGCTCTTGTATCCGTCTCAATCGGTCGAGTTCTGCTGCCACTTCTTTCATACTTGGCCTTTTCTTCGCATTCAATTTTAGGCATCTCTTTGCAAGAGTAGCAACAACATTAATCTCCTCCTCTTGGCCTTCATTCACAACTAGTGTGTCTAGGATTTCAAACAGACCACTATGTTTTATTGATGATCGAAAATGAAATACAAGACCTTCATAAGAACTATTAGAAGAGACCGCTTTTCTTCCTGTTAAGAGTTCAGCAAGAACTACACCAAATGAATAAACATCACTTTTATCAGTTAGTTGCCCTGATCGAAAATATTCTGGATCCAAGTAACCAAATGTGCCTGCTACCAATGTCGTCAAATGAGTCTTGTTAAGGGGTACTGATCTTGAAAGTCCAAAGTCGGATACTATAGCCATGTAATTTTCGTCCAACAATATGTTACTAGACTTTATATCTCTGTGAAAGATAGCTGTAGAAACACATGAGTGTAAATAAGCAAGTGCTCCTGCAACTTCCCCAGCAACTCTCAAGCGATCATTCCAAGGCATCGAAGCATAGCCCTCATCGTGAAGATGGTCGGAGAGGGTGCCATTCGAAATATATTCATACACTAGTATTGGAACTTCAGTCTCTAGGCAACAACCTAACAATTTCACAATGTTTCTGTGATTTATGTGAGAAAGGATAGTAACTTCATTAATGAACGGACCAATTTGATTTTCATCAACTTCTTTAGACTTCTTAACCGCCACTATGCTTCCATCGGATAGCATCCCTTTGTAAACTGTACCGAACCCTCCTTTGCCAAGGACTCGACTTTCATTAAAATTGTCTGTGGCCTTCTCTAACTCTTCCACTGTGAAGAGTTTTGTTTTCATTGCACTTTCTCGAGTTGAAGAGATATGTTGTTGCAATAACAATCCTCCATTTTTTCTAAAGAACTTATATTTCAATTTGTTTTTCCGTCTCTTCGCAAGTTTACGGTGCAACCATAAACCAATAGTGATGAAGACTAGAGCACCAATAGCAATTCCAATGCCTGCACGTGCCGAAAAATTGAAGCAAAGAGCGTCCTTTGGGCAAATATTCTTTTTTGGTTCTTTGCACTCATCAATATCTTTAGAGAAGACAAGAAAGAAAAGAAAAAAAATGTACATGAGGTATAAGCTATTCAAATTTGAATATTATTGAGCAAATAGTATAAGTTCTTCAAATTCGAATATTATAGAGTAAATTATATAGCAAAAGGGTCTTAAATATTTCTATACAAACATATATAATAGATTGGTGAGCAGTGGTATAGCCAAGAAATTTTTTTTTTTCTGTGGGGGCAATATTTAATAGCAATAATATACATACATACATATATATATATATATATATATATATATATATATATAATTTGAACCAAAACAATATATGTAAAAATTAAAATATTTATACATTACTATTTCAAAATTGAGTTCATTCAATGAAATATACTAAAAAAAAAATATCATATTCAATTAATCAAGAATAAGATATGAAAAAAAAAAAAAAAATAACACAATTACTTAAATTTAATTGTTCTAATATATCACGTGTAAAAATAATAATAAAAAATAAATTTCCATGATAACCAATTTCATTCGAAAAAATTCCATGGTAACAAACATTCTTAATAACTATTATGTCAGATTGTCAATCTACTCATAATAAAAATTTATTTATATTAAAAATAAAATAAAAATAAAATAGAAAACAAGTTATGAAGATAAGAAAATTTGATAGAGTAGGTGAATATGTGATTTCATTGAATAAAAAAAATTCAAAATCTTATTTAGAGAATAATAATTAGTAATACAATTACACAAACTAAATTTTGAAAAAATAACAAGTCCTAAAATAATTTTGATAGTAATAACTAATAATTTTTTTAATTAAAATTATAATATCAAATAATAATCGTAAATTTAGGTAATAAAAAATATATATATATTAGATTACCTGTCTGCTGCAATGCTCTACGACTAACTTTGTTTCTGTTTACTGGTAAATAGTTGTTCCGCTTGCTTTGTTTGGATTGTTGAAGACTCCCGCAAAGGAAAATGTTGAAGACTGAAAATGTAATGAAAACAATTTATTTGTTTATGGTAAAGTAAAAAGTGTTAAGAATATATTGATGAAATGCTTTTTTCTTTTTTTTTTTTTTTTTTTTTTTTTTTTTTTTTTTTTTTTTGGGAAAGTGGGAAAGAATATAATATTTTGGGGAAGTGAAAAAAAAATGTATTATATTTTGTGGGAATGTGATAAATTGATAGATATACTATATATCTTTAGTGTCGTGATTTTTATTTTTGTTTTTTTATTTATTTTTTGTTTTTTATTTATTTTTATGGTTTATGTAGCATATATGCGCTATATATCGTTGTTGAACTAGTTGACAACCGAAGAAGCATGCAGGCTAAAATAAAGAAAGTAGAGATAAGGGTTCCCTTGATAACCTTGAGAGCAGCGACATCGATATCCCATGCCATCTTCAAAGCATACACTGTTATTGCCACATGCATAGTCTTTTCTTCGGCGAGCTTCGTGGCAAGAAAGATTGCTCCCAATTACCCAGTCAAGCACCAACGGGACAGCAGGAAAGAATTCGTCATCAGTAAATACTGAGGTGTTGAATTCTGAGAAGTTGTTATCCGGATTTACAAACTTATATTTGACGTGGGAGACTCGGAATGGTAACGAATCCAACCCAAGACTTAGAGAAGAATATTTTGCAGACGACTTGCTGTAACAATTAACAACAGTAGGACCATATACGCGCACATAATGATCCACAGAGATCTCCAACTTTGTAAATCCGGAACAGGAGAGAGTTGGCTCCTTGCAAAAGACTTCAAACATGGGGTTCATGTAGCATCCTTTCCCAATGCCAAATGGATAAGGAACGCTCACGTTCCCGCATTTCTCTTGGCACTGTTTGGAATGAGAATTAGAGTCAGCTGCTGATCTTGTTCCCTTTGTTAGTAGTAGTAGTAGGAAGATCAATACTACTACTGAGTCTGAGTAGATGATGGTGATGATGTTGGATATTACATAATGTACCACCAGCTGAAATAGTTGCAGTGGTATTCTTTTTCTCCCACTCATGCCAGATACTCTATGATGCTTTATTGGAAGACAAACAAGGCCTATTTAATTAGGTTTTGTCAAAACAGTTTTCTATTTTCTAGTAACTGAAAAACCTCAACACTATTAATTAAGGGAGAAAATCCAAAGGAAATGACTATCAAGGTTGTGCTCTGCACTGGTGAGATCAAATGAAGCTCTCGTCATTTGCATATGTATATATTCAAAAGTTGGATTATTCCAAGAAAATTTTCTTAACGAAGAAATTAATAAATGTGAGTCACGTGGAGACAATTTCATTACACATTGACTCCACGTGAATTCATCAAGCAGTCATCAACCAAATTTTATCGTCTATGGTACGCGGCATGGAGTGGTAAATAGAATATATATTAATTTCAACATTTCGGAGTATTGCCCTAACCACGCCAATATCTATGGATTTGCTTTAATTTTGCACTTGCTTTGACCGTTCTAATGGTCTAATTAGTCAAGGATTTACCTTATTACTTAAGAGTACGGGTGGCAAAATAGGTCATGAGTAATCAATTAGTCTACATTCGTTCACTTTAAAATAAATATAGGTGAATCATTTTAAAATATGGGTCAAAATGGATAACCCATATTTAACCAATTTTTACCTCTATAAAAATAAATTGAATATGAGTCACCTATTTTGACCCATATTTCATTCATTATATAAGAAATACAGTTTCACAACTTCTATTTGACTTAAATTCATCTCTTCCTTTCTAAAATTCTCTCACATGATTCCAAATTCACTCTTTTTCCACTATCTCTCTCTCTAAAATTCTCTCTTTAAGATTTTCTCTGCATCATAGACTCCTCATGTATGTAATACCACGATTCGAAAGAAACCTATGTTTATATTGTATTTCAAAGTAGGATGACCTGATTTATTCATTTCATTATTTATTCTATAAAAATTTAACAGATAATTATATATATATATATATATATATATATATATATATATATCTTACCTTCATTCATATAGTCACAAAATAAAATAATATAAATTTAAAGGATTTTCAAAATAAATTAGAAGATTTATAATTATTCATACATATTTTTACAAGCTTTTATTTATCTAAAATCAAAAACTATAATAATTGTTATATTTAGTTGTGGGGTTCATTATTTATGAAAATTTGGAAGAAATGGAATTTGTAACTTGGCCCACTATTGAGAGAATTTGGTACGCATGTTTGAATTATGTGTATAGGTTCATTATATATATAATGTTGTAGGTATGAACCCATTAAATACATATAAGCAAGTTGTTTCTTTAGCTTTCTTTATAAGGTTGGCTTATGGCTAAGTATTGCTCATATATATATATATATGGGTATTGGTGTGTATCCGAGATGTATAGAAAAAGTAAAAGAAAATAAAGTAAACTCTTTCTACATTCTATCCTCTCAAAGTTTTTTGTTTTGATATTTTTGTTTATGTTAATTAATATTTATATAACAATAATAAAATTATCCAAAATAATAACTTATTTTTTTCTTAAAACGGGTTGACGGGTCATAATGGATTGACCCGGCCCATTTTTACCCAAATCATATTTAACCCATTACAAACGGGTTGAATATGGCCACAACCCATATTCGACCCATCCTTATTTAACCATTTCATATTTGACCTTGCTCAAACCAAACCCAACCCAACCCGCCCAGAGATGGAGCCAATGAGGGGCCAGGAGGGGCACGTTCCCCTCCTCGCCTAGCCCCACTCTCTATAATATATGTAGTAATTTTTTTATATTTTTTCTATATATATGAAAAATTGTATACAGTGCCCCTCCTGGCCTGCCCTCTATAATATATATAGTAATTTTTTATATTTTTTCTATATATATAAAAAAAATTATACAGTGCCTGCCCTTTGTAATATATGTAGTAATTTTTTATATTTTTCTATATATATAAAAAAAATTATACAGTGCCCCTCCAAATTTTGTGGTTTCTAAAATTATCTTTATTTTCTTTTTTACTCTTTAAATTTCTTAAAAGAAAAAATTAAATTTTCCTTCCTCAATTGAAACTCTTAATTTTTTCCTTTTAAAGTTCTCTCATTTTTCTTTCCTTTTTCAATTTCTACTTCTTAAAATTCATCTTTTTAACGTGTATATTTGAATTTTTTTTTTTTCTTCTTTTGTATTTTGTATTTGTAATGTTTATATATATATATTTTGCACGGTGCCCCTTCTGACTTGAAATCTTGACTCTGTCACTGAACCCGCTTGTTTACCATCCCTACTTAAGAGTTCAGCATATGGGCCATTTCAAAAAGAGTAAATTAATAACTAAGTTATTATAAAATAACAAGTCATGTGGAGATAATTTCATTACACATTGAATCCATGTGAATTCGACTGTCATCAACTAAATTTTTTCTGCGGTACGCGGTCTGGAATGGTATATATGATATGTACTCATTTTGACATTTATGAGTATTGGCATAACCAAGCCAATATATATAGGTTTGTTTTAAATTTGTACTTGTTTTGACCCCGCTAATGGTCTAATTAGTCAACATGCACTGAATTAATTAAAGATCTAGGTCATTTGGGTCGTTTCAAAAGAATCTCTTTAATTTAGTAAAGAAGGAAATTAATAACTGAATTATTTCAAAATAACAAGTCACGTGGAGACAATTTCATTATATATTGACTCTATGTGAATTCCACGAACACTAATCAACCAAATTTCTTTGTGCGCCACCGTGGAGATATATATATAATATCTACTAATTTTGACATTTAAAAGTCTTGGCCTAACCAAACCAATATCGCACTTGTTTTGACCCTTCTAGTGGTCTAATTAGTCAAGATTTATGGCGTTAGTCCAGATTTACCATGTTAATTAAACATGTATTTCTTTTATTATAGCCTGAAGGAGAGTTAATTGGTGGAACATACTTTTGTTTCACGGAAAGCTATATTAGCTTCTCAAAAGCAGTGTGGATATATGAATACCACAATGAAAAACATGTGAATTTGATTGTCTAGGGTTGGTTTGACAAAACTTTTGCTTTTGATTTTGTGCCGAAGAAAAAGTGAAGTTATAAATATCACTTTCACTTTGCGTATGTGTTAGTGTTTGAAAACTATATTTTAAAAGAATTTTTAATATCAGAAGTGTTTTTTTAATCTGTTTGGCAAAACATTTAGTTGAACTCTTCTACTCTTGAAATAGCCATTCAGATTAATTTATTTATATATTTAAATTATTTAAAGTCGTTTAGTAATAAACACCCTACATTTTGTTTACCTAAGCATCACTTGGCTGACAATTCTATCCTGCATAACTCCTATCTACTATTTACCCACATGACACAATGAAATGAATATCTGTCAATGTCTTCATTTGGCAAATAATTCTCATTTTCATCTATGATTTTATTTTAGAATTGCATCATTTATATCATTATTGACTTCAGTATCAGTGTCCATGTAAACCTGAAATATATCTAAAGGTCATATATAATAATAAATAAGTAAAAAATAACTTTTCATAAATCAATTAACAAGTAAAACTGTGCAGGTAACAAAACATACCATTTACAATGTTGTTAAAGTATCAAAATGTAATTATTAAATCACAATGGTGATTATTCTTTTTTTTTCTTTTTTTCTTTTTTTGACAACTCTATATTAGTTTAGTACGCTCTATTAACAAGGTAATGTTAGTATATATTCTAAAAAAAATTATATGAAGGCAACTAGAGTGTCATCTAGCACATGGAAGGTTTGCTGCAATGTTCAATTCTTGATGACAAAAAAGTGCAATCCAACCATACTAAATTCAGAACATGCAACCTCCCATCTTAATTCATGAAAGATCACAAAATTTACAACAATAAAATGAGGAGAGGGCTGATTCTTACTTTTATTTATCTTTTCAAAAACGTAAAAAAATAAAAATAAAAAAGTATGATGCTTGAAATCTTATAGTGTCGCTGCTGTCTGCTGAGGAAACTGAGGAAGTTGAACAATGAGAGACTCACGAGAGAACGTGAGCAGAGAAACCCTAGGAGACACAAATCGTGAAATGGTAAGATATTTATTTGGATAGGCTTGGAACAAAATTTGTTTACTCATAAAAGATAGGGTGTAATGGGAATTACAAAATATTCATTAAAATCAGAAAACGGCTTCGCGTGTCGATCAGAAAGAGCGTTTCTTAAGAGCTGAGCTTCGGGGGGAAGAACTTTCAAAAACTAAAAACTCTTAACCTGAACAATCCAAACACCTCAATAAATAGCTTCGGACTTGAAAAGCCGAAAGCTTATCCAAACACCTCATAAGAAGGTTGGCTTCTCCAAACATCTAATATCAATATAAATTTATCGAAAAAAGAAAGAAAAAAAAGAGTTGTCTTATTTTATATTAAATCATTTTCAATTATGACAGCAGAAAATATCATTAATGTATACTCGGTGTAATATTTTTACCCCCTATTTGAAAAAAATGTGCAAAAGACACTCATAATTCTTTCACATTATGCGAAAAACACCCTTAAAGTATACTCCGTGTAACATTTTTACCCCTTTTTTGAAAAAAGTGTGCAAAAGACACCCATATTTTTTTTTCACATTGTGCAAAAAACGCCCCCTATAATATAAATTAGTATTGTAATACCTATTTTGACATTTTATACTTTCGAAAATGCCCAATGGGGTATATATGCTACTAATATCATAATATAGAGGTGTTATGTGCACATTCCTTTTTTTTTTTTCTTTTTTCTTTTTCTTTTTTCTTCTCTATATATATTTCTAAACAATTATTTTTCAAACTTTGATAATTTGTAAAACAAGAATTTGAATTTTTTGAGATTCCAATTACTCGCTACAAGAATTTTAGTTATTAGGGACAAAAAAAATCGTCCCTAAAAGTACTAAAATTGTCCCTATTACCTTTTAGGGACAGTTAATGTGACCGTCTCAATTAATTGCGTCCCAAAAGGGTTTTAGGGACGGACTAATTGGGA